GTGGAAAAAACGCTAAAATTAAAACAAAAAAAGTCAGCGACAAAAGTCAAATTCTGAAATTTTATAAAGCGCTATCTTTTAGTGATTGGTTTAAAGTAATGAACAAAACAAAAGTTCCGGTCAAAATAGATGCAGAATTAGAGCAGTAATTCGAAATACGTAAAGAATGGTTAACGTTATACGTCATTTCCGGTTGGAAGAAAATGCGTCATTTTACATTTAAACAGTAGCGACACGCAAAGTATAAGAAATAATAGTGTCAGACAATGTGTGACATGTGCAGTTTTGGCTGGGGAGCGTGCCCAGAAGTAGCCAACCAAAAAAAAAAAAACCAAAAAAAAAAAATAGTCATTTGCAAAACAATGCAGTGAAGAAGAACGCACTGCAAAAAAAAAAAAAAAAGAATTGACATTTCGATAACAGTCCGATAAATTCGATAAATAGTCCGTTAAGGGGCGGAGCTTATATTTCCATTCCGTTTACACAGATATAAACCGAATTCACGTGACCGCTGTTATCCAATCAAATTGCATGATACCGTGTAAACGGAATCGTGATTTAATTATTCTTCCATAACATGAAATGATTTTCTGGAGAGAAGTTTATGTAACTATCATCCCATCCATTTGTATGATCAATAAAATGTGTTAAATCAACTCAAGCATGCTTAAATTAATACCATTATTATCCAACGAAAGTTATCCAGAAATTAAAATGTAGTCAATCACAAAAAGAAAAGGGATCGAAACAACTAACAACCAACTAACCATCTGCTTAAGTACTATGTTTATATGCAAATATGTTGTTTTGTAATTTTTGTTCGTATTTTATGATTGTGTTTTTATTTTGTTTGTGTTTTGTACACCTTATCTGGGCAGAAATGTCCACGGAAATAAAGAACTTGAATTTGTACATGTACATTCGAGTCAAATTGGTGACAGAAATGTAGAAACAAACGCATATTGGTGACAAAAATTTGATAACACTGCATATTTCCAAATTTGTTGCTTGTATCACAAAATGCGCAATGGGTTTTCTATGCCGCTGGACTACATGTTTTCTCAAATCCCAACAATTTGCGAATATGTTGTTTGTCCAGTCAGAATAGACGCATTCACGGCGAAACTATTATAATTTTTCATTACAGGTATTTGAAAATGTTACCATTTTATTTAGTGATGTTGTGGGGTTTACAACAATTTGCAGCAGGATAAGTCCTATGGAGGTTGTATGTTTGCTTAACGCTATGTACACTAAATTTGATCAACTAAGTGAAAAACATAATGTTTATAAGGTAAGACGAAGCATCATGAACTTAATTATCTTTTTTTATTGTAAAAAAAATGTAAACTAGCTCGGAAGCTGACAGTGCTGTGTTAAGCAGGTCTAGTTTTGGTATTGATTTTTTATTTTATTTTGGCGTTTGTTGTTTGTTTTAGCGGTAATCCACACGAAATCTCCAAGTGACATTTTTTCTCAAACCCGAAGTTACGTATTGGAACATGGGAAAATTTGACGTTGTAAGGCTTTTAAATTCATGTGGTGCTCTGGCACAAATATTTTAAAGCACATGTCAGTTAACACGCTTGTCTTTCTTTACTTTGATATCTGATCTGTCGGCCGCAAATGGAGTGCGTAAACTATTTTTCGCTTTTACTACATATTGTTTTGGACAATTGTAATCGAGTTTTCACATGTTTGCTCCTGGATTCGATATCGTTCCTTAGTTATTTTAAAAACAGAGAGTTTCTAATATAAAGGGGCATCTGGTATTAAATGAATATATCGATGGTACAAACTTTGTGGTATTACATTATTGAGTGTTTGCAAAAAATAGTTCGAACACTCTGCTTTTGTTATTTTCGGTCTTTTTTCGTCATTTCTAGCTATTTCCGGAAATTTTTGGAAAATGTTTTTTTAAAAATTCTAATTGATGATTTAGCATCTAACCATCTTCCAAGTTTCGTGAACGAAAGTGGAATTTTGACCAAATTTTCAAAGTTCTGAAACAGCATTCTTTTCGGAAATTCTTATACTTACATCCACCAATTTTAAAGAAAATCATACCAATAAGTCTTTTTTTACTGATGTTCGAAATCCGCTGCACCACTTCCTGTTTAATCTGGTGTACTACAACAACAATAAAAAAAAACTTCAACCAGAACCGTATGCCTAACGACAAATGAAGCAGTGCGATGCACCTGGAGATTTGTTCATTAAGCACAAGACAAACGTTCAAAAAAAAAGATGCACATTAGCAATTTTGAATCATAAGACTTTATGCCCCCACCCCTATCATTTTGCCCCTCTACCTCTCTGAGCGGCAATCTATTACCTTTTAAGTTATATATAACTTAAAATCATTTTAACATACCCAGTCGTTTAAACTCTTTTTTTAATGTAGATAGCTTAATCGCATGATATATTCCTTAAAGAGGCAATTGTTTGTTTCGTAATTTACATCAAAATATCGAATATTTTACATCATTAGAAAGAGATCAGGATGAATAGATTAAATTATGTACATTATAATCAAATTCTAAATTTGATGGAAAAATTGAATTTTACCTACTTAAATTACCTACTTTGCTATTTCTCATAAAACCTGTAAGAACCTCTTTGAATTTTATAACTAACACCCCGGTCTCTCTTTCTTTGCGCTCCTTCTCCCCCTTCAGCCCAACTACCTTCTTAGTCCCTCACCCTTTTTTTTCCTTTATCTCTCTTAGCCCACACCATCATCATTAAGTATATGCATCTAAATCACTTAAAATCAAACCAAATTGTCTAGTCGCTTAAACTCTTATATTCCGGAGATCGCCTAAACGCATGACATATCCTTAAGATGTAAATTCTGTTAAAATTAAAAGTCATTTGAAAGAGGAAATCATACATGCTACAGATAAATAGAATAATTTGCTCTATGTAAATTATGTAACGTGTCAGAGCATTAAATAAATTTTCATTTTTCAAATTGCTGTAACTCAGAGAGTAAACATCGTACGACCTAAAAAGATATAATTAGAAAGACCTTGTCGGGGGATATATTTTTTTCAGGTTACCAAGTGTCAAGGTCACAAGATACATTGCACGAAAGTTTGCTAATCTTCATTAAAAAAGAACCGGACATAACAAGGCAACAAAATCGAAAAAGAAAAATCAGAATTTACAACTCTTAGCCATATCAGATACTCCCTTCATTGTTCATTTCGATTTTAAAAAAATGCCGATTATAACAGTATGGCGGCTGGAATGAACATCCTAGTCGGATTTTTTCTTATTTTTTATATTTTTGTTTTACATATTTTAACTTAAATTAAGAATAACTTTTTAAATCTTTTCAGAACTCTAAAAATTAGAAATTGTGTGAATTCCGAATAAAAAAAAAATACGCAGTTACTACAGAAGAATGCAATTCAGATAAAAATACCCAGTGTTATATATCGTTTGAACGAGGAGATCAAGCATAGTGAATTTAATAAATAAAAGAATTTATTTAAATAAGGTTCAGCTAACAAAAGTTGTTTGAAATTAAAATAGTAATTTTCAAATGGTTTCAAAAATGAGTGTAACATTGAATAGGATTAGTCAAGTGCAAGGATTTTAAAATTTTACTTTTGATATGACCAATTCTACCATACTGGAAAAAACAGACGTCAAAACTGGAAGTGATATGGAAATTTGAAATTATAATGACTATCCACCTTGTAATTTTTAGATCGAAATTATTAGATTGATTGAGATTAAGTAAGAAAAAAAAAGTTAATTTCAAACTAGACATGTCAGCTACAAAAGTCATTTCAATTCAAATTAGAAAAGAGCAAAAAAATTGTTTTCGTCACTAAACATTACCGATTAGAAAAATGCATCTAATTACATTGATCAGACTTAATTTCACGGGTTTTAAAAGAAAATCGAAAAAAAAAGTATGTGACGTGCAGTTTTAGCTCGGCGCTCTGACCAGAATTTGAAAGAAGAAAAAAAAACAATTTCTAAAACGAAGCAGTGCGTTCGAATAAGTCAAAGGTGCAGAGAAGGATACCTATCCTAATTCCTTGCTAGATGCTGGCATTGTTAATTACATCACATAGATCACGGGATTTGTAGCCCATTTCTGATTGGATAAAACTCGGCAACATTATTCGCATCTCGTTAGCAGATTTTGGGTAACAATTGGACAACATATTGAATATTTCGAATATTGCCGAAACGTACTCTCTAACTTTTTCTTTAACAACATATCATTTTCTCAACTTGTTACCTAAAATATTGTCAGTGTGTTCAATACTTTACAAATTTTTCTGGTTACAGGTTGAAACAATTGGAGATGCATACATGGGAGTATCTGGAGCGCCCATAGTCAATGCACAGCACGCCATTTACGTTTGTAATATGGCGCTTGATATGGTCAATTCTATTAAACACTTGATAGACCCGTCTACTGGTGGAAATGTGCAAATACGCATAGGTATGTATAAAACTAAAATGTGAAACAGTGGAAAATCCTAAGGCAGTTTGTACAATTTTCATTATCTTAACAACAACGTCGTTAATTATACCTTAAAATATTTCCAAAATATATTTAATTCTATGTGTCTACTTGATCAAACTGAATTTGTCTTTAAAGGTTTAATCAAAAACGGAGAGTACGGTTTAAACATTTTTTATTGGAATTCAAATGGATCAAGTATAAGTTACGCAAACTTAGATCACTCTCTCCAAAATAAGTGTTTTACATTGAACAAGATGGTAACAGTATTTAACAAATGTGTGAGAAAATATAAATACATTTGTAATACAATACAATACTACAATATAATAAGCCACCGACAAGTTCTAGATGAATCATATGGATAAATAACTTAACAAGCAATTATTGTAATACTTTCAATTAGTAAATCGTTGGGATGTTCTAATAAACTGTTGCACATGCTCGAATAATTTAACATTTGAATTATATGAAAGATTAGGATCACCACATAGTATAATGTCAATATTTAATAATGTAAAATCTACCAGATGATTGTCGAGGACTTGACGTTGGATAACATATAATGTACAATCAAAAAATAGTGATGGGCATCTTCCTCTGGAAAGCCACAAGAGCACATTAAATCATCTACTATTCCAAATTTAAATAGATCACCTTTAAGTGATATTCGGCCGTGTCGAAGTTTTGTTTGTTGAATATTTTCAAACCGGTTTCCAAGAAATTAATACTTGGTGGCCTTATCGTTATTTCATAGTGATCTTTTGACATTGTATTTAAAGGTATTAAAATCATCAATTAGCTTGGTATTAATATATAACTGGAAAACATTCTTTTTGGTGAGATTCGAGAATGCTGAATTCAGCTCGTTGAATTTCCTCTGTTCAAGGAACTGGAATAACTCTTAGCGTGATATCACGATGTTGACTGGTAACCAGATGACGCTGTTTTAAGTTCTGTACGAATCGTTGAACACTATTCGAAGCAGTTTTTCATACGAACCGTATCTGGAGACGTCAAGAAGCTGGCTAAGTGTACCATTTGAACCACATTCATTTGAAGCAACAGTATATAAACATATGTTACCATTCGAATTTCAGGATCAGCAATAACAGGTTCAGGCCATTTCAGGATAAGACAACCAGTCGGGTCCAGAAAACCATAATCTTGATTCGATGAATTGATCTGCTGTACATCCTCTTGATGGCAAGTCAGCTGGATTATCTTCTGAACTGACATGATTCCATTTTCTGACATCTGACAAACATTGAATCTCATCAAGACGATTTCTTACAAAAATGCCCAGTTTCTTGGTTGATGACAACCATGAGAGACATATGCTGGAGTCTGTTCAGTAGAACTGTTCAACTACTTTGTAATCCTTGGAAATAATATCCATCAACGATCGAGATAATCTACAACCAATCACCACAGCAACCAGTTCCCGTCCTGGTCACGGCACAAAATTGTGTACTAGGGCTTGCACAAGACTGACTGGAATGTAGGACTTCACGTTGTGTATTTTAAATAACTTTATTACAGTGATTTACATTGTTACAGACTAGACTCAATTACTGTGTTCTGAAGTTGACGAGTTATGTCCCTTTAGTTTAATCTTTGTTAAATAAGTTAATTTTTAGTTTTTGTTATGAAAAGTTTGTGAAGTAAAGTTTATACTTTAAAAAGAGTTTTTCTGTTTAAAAACATGAACATACAAGAATAATTTGCAATAAAACATTGGTCCGACGAGACGGATAAGTGAAGTGAAGTCTATTTCATGTTTAGAGGTTAATTTAAAGGTCTAAAAAGTTGTCAAGTAAGCCTATATAAACTCATCATGTCTGCTAAAGAATTAAGATCATTATAAAGAAAGATGACATTTACGAAAAAGTCATTCAAAGATTCATTGCAGGCAGCTGATGCAGCGACCGCACAATTTGTGGAAAATAGAAGTTTTAAAGGACAATCTTCAAAGGAAATAGTCTGACTTAAAAGACTTACAAATGACTCTTTCCATCATTTCCTCAGATGAACCTATGGAAGAAAATTATACTTTAGATTGTATTGTGGATTTATCTAACTGCCTAAAAGGACCCACTCAAACTCCTGATCAACCAGTCAATAACAACAACAATCAAAACGGTCAAGTAACTACTCAAGTCAAGCTACCGAAATTAGATATTCCCAAGTTTGATGGTGATGTTTTATCCTGGCAACCATTTTATCAGTCTATCAAGGTATCCATTATTGACAATAATTCCTTAGCGGACGTTCAGAAGCTAGAGTACCTTGTCAGATGTTTAAAAGGAAAAGCAGCAGAATGTGTCAAGGGTTTTTCAATAGTTACAGAAAATTATACACCCGTATTGGAAACATTAACAAACAGATTTGGTCAACCCAGATTAATACTTGAAGCTCATGTACGAAGCCTGATACATCAACAATCACTAACCTCTGAAGAGCATCCACCATGAGGAAGTTTTATGATAAAGTTATTGGTCACATACGTTCCATAAGCTCTATGGGTCCAGAATTCAATCAAGAAATATTGGCTCTTGTATTAGTTCCATTAATCGTTGACAAATTACCAAAGCCATTGATTGGAATATGGGAGTTAGAAATCAAAGATAACACAGACAAGTTTCTGTCAATGAAGAAATTGAGTTCATTTATAGAAGACACACTACGTGCCAAGGAATCATCAGTGTCAATATCGTTTGATTCCAAGAATAATACAAGTACAAGTTCAAGCTGAAAGTTTGATTGTCATACACATCAACAGAAGTCTAATGGTAATGGTGTTTCACAGAAAAGATCTACAACTGCAGTTTTAAATGCATCTACCAAAATGCAAGCTGTGGCATGCCCTATATCGTCGGTGAAGAGTTAAAATGTCTTATCTCGGTTTTTATAAAACTAAAAACCGATTTTTGTTTTTCACGCTTACAACAGAATAATGGCCTTATAAGAAACAAATGCCTTTTTTGATGGCAAATAAGTAGTAATAATTGATATTTGGCTAGGGAACGTGATATTGTAAATAGCCGAGATACGTTTCGACTGGCAAAATTTGAAAATGAAACCATGTATACGACTTTGGTTATATGTAAAGGGGCGGGGCAGCTTTTAAACAGCTATTAATAAAGTTCAAGATTTATTCGCCAACAACTTAACAGAACAAAATATGTATGCTGTCTTCTTCACAGTGCCATGAAACTTGTGTACTAGTATTGAAATAAATGAATTAATAAAAGCACATAAACTTTAAAGTCTTCATATTAATGTTCAACAAAGATCAATATTTTAACTATCTACGCGTATGGGGACTGTAACTCTATATTCATTCTGAAAGTATTGGCTTCAATGAAGCAAATTGTCATAGAAACTGTGATACTCCTTTGGGATCACTGACTTCAGGTCTTGTAAATGTTCAAATTTTGAACTTTTAATTCTCAAAGCACCTGAATGTGCAATCTCCACCACTTCTCCTGCTGGATTCTGGATAAACGCTCGTCTTGGGAGCTCTTGAAAGTCATCATTAAATCCTAATTTATATTCAATAAGTCCCTCTTTACCAGAGTTATATTTCAACACGCGAAGGTCTGTGACAACTGCATCTCCAGCTTTCGTTCCAGGACGAATAGATGTGTAATATTTTAGCCTACTGTAATCTTTAAAAAACTCATGGGAAACGTATTTCACTTCATATGGACAGGGAATCGATCGAGCACTTCTGATGTAATCTACGTATTGCTGTGGCCAGTAGATAAGATTTTTGTGTAACTTTCTTTCGATGGTGGCATGGACGCTATCAGCCTCCATCTGTGTGTGCCCCTTTTCTAAATATTTGTGAATAATAGTCACATTATCTTCAACCGCTATCTTGTAAAGAGCGTTTGATAAAGTACGGTTTTAACATGTTTTCCCAAATGTTTGATGTAATCCACTAATCACGAAGAAAATGTATTTGCAGTTAGATCCCCTTCCCCCTCGTGCCAAAGATAGCATGTGCAGTTCTTGGAAGCAAGGTCATACACTGTAAAATTATGCACCGCTAGCTTTGTCTTATAATACAACGCACTGGCCTGCAGCATGGGACTCAAAAGAACCGCTTGTACGTCGATGGTTATTACTGCCAAAGATTCATCGTTAAGAGCATTTGCTTTGTCGCGAGCTTTTTCGTCTCTAGCAATGTTCTTACATTCTATGTGGCGATTGTATTGATCATCCTCGATGTTTCCAATTTCATGAGCACAACACAGATCGCACTGATATTTTCGAGGTTTAAAAAGAGAAATGTTCATGTCGTTGTAGCCATCACATACTTTTATATGTAATTTTCCTGGTATATACAAAAAATATATTTGTGTCTATTAATAGTTATACCTAATTTTGTCATATGTCCATGTCCTATTATTAAGCTACACGCAAGTCCATGTCCAAGTTTAACACGTCACCGCATGGTAAAGAAAACCGCCATTGTGATTTTCTATGTTAGGCGTTCTGTTTTTGGACATTTCTTTTCAACATTAAACCTAGAATAATAACTCTTATTTATTATATTTATAGGTAAGTTGTTAACTTGTATGTGTAGAATAGGTTCATAGTCAAATTCAAGCTTGTCATCGTATATTTATTTTGTAATACTCTTTTCTTCATCATCGGTGTTTCCCCTCTCCCTCCATTCGCATAGACCCCATTGCAGGCCTATTTCGTGCTTATTACTGAAAATGGTTAAACTAACGCTTATTATGTTTTGAATTATTTACGAATGTATTTTCATTCATTATTATCATGCATTCACAAATGTTGTTTACAATGTTCATGCTTGTATTGTGTTGCAATATTTAAAGGCATAAATTGGTCTATTGTCCTCTATATGTAAATGAGACATTGAAGCCCCCTTTATTTGCAATTTGCACAATTTAGATTGTCAGATATTCATCATATTAGAACCTAGTTAAGTGTAATTAGATGATGTTATTCACATCCAAAATGTTGGAACAAAATGCGCACATTATTAAATGCTTAGACTTAAGTTATTTCAAATCCATGGTACATTTCATTATCCCTGTTGGCTTATTCAGTAAAAGTGAACACATAATGTTTTATATAGTTTTATTAGATGATATTTGTACAAATATATATTGTAAACACACATTGAATGTATCCAGAACTCCATAGTAGTTCTGTTCTGTATTTGGACATTTCTTTTCAACATTAAACCTAGAATAATAACTCTTGTTTATTATGTATAGGTTTAATCCGAAGCTCTGATGCTACTGGCTATCCCATTAAAATTGACCATTGTTCCTCTATCATCCCCTAGAGACAACAGCTAAACCACATATTTAGAGGCACAAAGTTACATCGTCAAATACATACTTAAAGGATGTTCGTTTCATTATGGGCTCGTTATTACTTCTGCAGTTTTGAGTATACAAATTATATAAGCTCATAAAGATCGTGAATAATGGTTCTAAGTACAACTTAGTAGATGAGGCTCTGCAATAGTGGGATGGTAGTTTGGGTAGGCTCTCCAGGAAACGAACAACATTACGGTACGTCTCACTACCTTTATCAACTGGACCCTTCCTAACTCTTTTGGGTCTAGGATGTGTGGCATTAGCTGCAATAACATCAACCCACTTATAAATAGTTCGCTCACCGAGGCAGAGGGTTCCCAGAAATATGTTCTTGCAAACAGGGATGCGTGCACCATTTGTTTTTTTCAGATAATAGAAATATGAATATTTTTTTTGTAGTCACTCTGGTCAACTTCAATATTAGATGTTCTCTCTTTTACTTCACGACGCTCAACTATTAATTAACACTTTCTTCTCATTCCAGCTCATAGCCCACAATGTGTTGAATATATGCTGCCGATCTTCCTCGGTAAGATCAGAACATTGCTTTCGCCCTCGATCATTTTAACACAACTTAGGACAGTTTCGAGGCTGAATACACCTTGCGTTTCTTTTTCCTGCACGTGCTGAATCATATGCTTTACCAGTCATTCTTAACCTCTTAGCTTCATTTCTCTTTCAATTTTTAGGATCTGCTCGACTCTTTTTTTCGTACTAACTATCTCTTCGTGATCCAAATTCGCACCGTCCATGTCTACATCTCCAACTATAAGGTCTTGCGATTCAATTGTTACCGTCTGATCTTCAAAAACGTCATCAGCTTCTTTGTTTTCTTGTTCCGGAATTCCAGAAATATCATTTATACCAATGAACTGTTCAGAGGATTTAGTAAAAGTATTCTGCGCTGGTAATTGACCAGACGTTGAGATAATGTTTGGGTTTTTATTTCTTGATGTTGAATTGTCTTCAATGAGATGTGCTATCGGAAATGTACATGACTGAGTTGTAGCTGGTAACTTGCCTGACTCTGTGATTATCATGATATCGTTTCGGGAATCATTGGAAATGTTTTGAAAATTATTGAATGTTGCGTCAATTATTGTTGTATTTGTATTCTTCTTCTTTTTGTAGTTATTGATTAAATCATCATCGTCATCTGATGTGAACTCAGCCCTATGGAGGTCCCTCTTTTTGGGTGTAAATGTTGGATCTTTAACAGAATCATCTGAGTCAAGTGATTCGTCATCTGAAATATCAGCCATTTTACCCTGTGCGTTACCAAATAACTCATCCACTGTTGGACTATCTGATCTATTAACAACACTATCATTAGCCAAATCTGTATGGATTGTCTGTGTAACAGTGGATGTGCTTGAAATCAGCGATAGTTGCACCAGGCGTTTACCACGTGATAGGCTGCTGTTCGTAGACATTTGGGATTTATGAAGTTATTAGCAAATATCTGAAATATAAAAAGTCAAATCATTCCACTTCATTTGAATGTTATGATACAAATTTAAGGTACAAAATGTCGTATGTCAGACACAATTACCAAAAAGTAATTAAATTACATAGCAAATTGTCGTATCTCGTGAAACTTGAAATAAAAGACAGATTTAACAAGTCTCTGATCGTCAGTAATGCTTCAAATGTATTTTGCTAATAATTGATAAATGTATGAATGGTTCTGTTGAGGAGAAACCATAAAACTATTTACATTTCATATTTTACCGCCAAGAAACTTAAAGCTATAAAATGTCAGGCTGGTATTGGTTAAGGAGTGTGCTTGAGATGGTACGATGAGTAGCTAGATACGAACAAATAAGAAAATTGATGTTTTATAACATACCTATTGATATTTTCGGCAAAACAGATGCTTTTTGGAAGATTTGGTGCTCACATCAAAAAAAATCTCTGAAATACGATATTTTTGCATTTCAACTTTTTAACAAATCAACATACGATTTTAGAACACATGATCCAAGGACAATTTTTTATTGGGTTATACATACGGCTAGTATATAAAAAGTTGCGCCTGTTGATTCTGAATTCATAAATGCAATAAAAAGTTTTTACGACATTTTTGAGATACGACCTTTTGACTCTTCACCGACGATATGTAATAAGTCTCATCAAATTCAGAACTGCATTGGATTTCTGACATCTCCTTCGAGAAAGACATCAACGAATATTAAATAAACGTTTATGCTTTTTATGCCTTGATCCAGGCCTAACCTCAAGTGAATGTCAGAGTTCGATGTGTAAACATTGCAGTAGGCGACATAACAGCTTACTTCATCTTGACAGCTACATCAGCAAGGATTCTTTGAGTAACCAAACAACAATTGCATCCCCTGTCGCTTCTCAAATTACAGCCAACTTCAGTTTTACTTCAGATCAATCTGGACAGATTGTACTCCAGACCGCTCCAGCTGTCTTGCACGTTTCGAATGGTACATTGAAAGTAGTACGATGCTTCTTTGATCAAGGTTCCCAACGATCTTTCATCAAACAGGACATAGTGGATGAGTAAGGACTTCTCCCTGAAGAATAATTATAATGAAGCAGTCAAGTGTTTAGTTAGTTTGGAGCGAAATTTGTTTAGGGATCCAGGTAAAGCACATGTTTATCAAGAAGCTATTGAGAAATATTTAATATAAGAGTTTTCTGAAGAAGTTCCTACGAACGAGTTGATCGTCCAGTATTTTATTTGCCTCATCATGCTGTCTTCAGAGACGATAAGAGTACATCCAAAGTTAGAATTGTATTTGGTGGATCGTCCACTGATGAATTTGGTACGTCTGTGAATAGCTGTATTCATGCTGGTCCGTCGTTGCAACGAGATTTGGTTGGAATCTTATTAAAGTTTAGAAAGAACCAGGTAGCATTGGTCGGTGATATTCAAAAGATGTTTTTATAAGTCAAACTAAATGAAAAGGACAAAGATGCTCATCGATATCTATGGAGAGGGCTTTCTACTTATTCTCCACCCAAGGCGTATCGTATGACAAGATTGACATTTGGTATTATTGCAAGTCCATTCCTAGTTTTACCAAGAACAGTTTCCTGTTGCATCTAAAGAAGTTTTACAAAACACCTATATTGACGCCATAGCAACTGTAACAGATACTCAAGAGGATACCTTAAACTTGCAACAAGAATTAAAGGAACTTATGGGTATTGGTGGATTCAATCTAACGAAATGGGCAAGCAACAGTTCATTTGTTATGAGCAACATTCCACTCAATGACAGGGCCCCTTATGACCAGATATGCTTTGAAAATGACACCAACGATATTAATTATTCTATGAAGACTTTTGGTTTTTGATGGAACCCTCAAAGGGATACTCTGAATTTCAAAATAAAGGTACCAGATGGTGTCATTGATTCCAAATCAAGCAGCTCAGGTATATGATCCTCTGGGTCTTATTGTACCATTAACAGTAAGATCTAAGATCATATTTCAGTCTTTATGGTCGAAAGGTTTAGATTGGGATGATGTTCTTCCAGGTGACCTCTCAGAATTATGGATTTGATGGTTTGAAGAACTACCCACATTAGAATGTCTACAGATTCCAAGAAAATATACAGAACTACCTCTGAGTAGCTATGATCGAATCGAGTTGTATTTGGAGACGCCCCAGAGCAAGCCTACTCCGCAGCAATTTATTTAAGGGTCACGTCAGCAGAAGATGCCAACTCTTATACGAGGTTAATCATGTCGAAGTCTAGAGTGGCTCCAGTAAAACGGATCACACTTCCACGTTTGAAATTAATGGCTGTCCTGATTACAGCACGCCTTTTGAAGTATGTCCAGTCTCTTATTGATATTGAAGTTCACAAGGTTACATGTTGGACAGACAATTCCTCTACTCTGCACTGGATCAGAGGCTTGGCATCGCAATGGAAGTAATTTGTCTTAAATTGTATTCAAGAAATCCAGTCCTTATATGAACCAACTGTCTGGAGGTATTGTCCGAGTGCCAGTAATCCGAGTGATTTGGTCACAAGGGAAGTCACAGCTGAAAATCTAATCAACCAGCAATTATGGTGGCATGGTCCCCAATAATTACAGCTGACAAATGATAACTGGCCTCAAGATACACGGTCAGCATCAATGGATGATAAAGTAAAAGTATTGTCGTCTGGTCAGAACTGTAGTCTGGATAAGAGGATTTCAACTTAATATCAAGCTTGAGAAAAATAATAGAATTTGTTCAACACTCACAGTGCCTGAAGTAGATGAGTCTGAACAGTGGTTGGTACTTGTGTTCAGAAAGAAGCATTTGACGAAGAATTATCAAGTTTACATGCTAGTGAAGTACCCAAAAATAACAACCCTTTCAATGATAAAGGCACTGGTGTTTTACGTGTTGGGGGAAGGATTAAAGTCATTGCTTAGTCCAGAACAAAAACATCCAATTATATTGCCATCTGGGCATACATTTGTGAAGTTGTTGATTCAAAGTGTACATTCTCAGGAACTTCATGGAGGCACGGAACATACTCTTTCTGTTCTTCGTCAACGTTTTTGGATCCTTAAAGGCAGGTCTTCAGTCAGGCAAGTTATTCATAAGTGTTTAATTTGTGGATTTTATAAGACAAAGCCATTTTCACAAGAAATTACACCGTTGCCCGCCGATCGGGTGGCTCAAGCGCCACCATTTAGCAATATAGGACTTGATTTCGCAGGACCTGTTTGCCTTAAGGACCATAAAAAGGCTTATATATGCCTGTTTACTTGTGCAGTTACTCGGGCTATTCATTTGGAATTAGTAGTTGATATGACTGTTGAAAGTTTTCTTCTTGCATTACGTCGTATGGTTGCATGACGCGGTATATGTAACATTATATGGTCAGATAACGCTAAAACGTTTAAATGTGCTGACAAGGAATTACAATTTGAAAATCCTGCAGTGCAAGATCATCTCACCTACAAGAAAATTCAGTGGAAATACATAGTTGAAAGAGCATCCTGGTGGGGCTAGTGAATAATTTTTGGAATAGGTGGAGTGCAGAATATCTGAAATCTCTTATTAGTCTTAAAAAAAGGTTTTCCGCGGACAAGGAAATCCATAAAGGTGATTTAGTGTTGATAAGTGGTTATCGTATTCCTCGTATACTCATATAGGACGGAACAATCTTCTAAGATCTGCAACCTTTAAAATGCCAATGGAACAGTCCTTCGTTAATCAAAATCCTTTGTTAAATAAGTTAGTTTTTGTTATGAAAAGTTTGTGAAGTAAAGTTTATAAACATGAACATACAAGAATAATTTGCAATAAAACAACATAAAGGAAAACTTGGTTACACCCTGATGCCACGTTGTTGACTGTATGACGGCATGCTTGGACGTGTGGAAAACGTGGCTTTGGTAAAAGTTTGTTTATTGTAGTCTTCGTTAGGGACATCTTCGTGTTGCTGTTAATACATTATATTAGTCCGAGGCACCGAACTTTCTGAAGATTCCACAGCTTGCGTAGATTCCTTGCGAATAATTTTATCGGAATGAACATGTTCACAATTTCCTTGAGACAAATGGTTGCCTAGCAAGATACGCCCACTTGCCTGATAAATTTTCAGTATATCAGAGGCCGTCGCCAATCTATGTCAAATCGTACCAAAAATCTAATTTGTACAAGACATTGTTGATTTAATCAAACACACAAAATGAAATAAAATTTGACATAAACTGCCAACAAATTTTGATTGCATTTTGTAAGTCAGGTGAGAACGGTAGGGTCTAAGTGTTATAGAATGATATCTGTGAGTAAACACTTGGATGAATGTACCCTTGATCCTATTAAATTCAAAATATTTCCGTTCTATCAGCTCCTAAACAGTTGTGAAAAAGAGAGAACATTAAAAGAGGAATATTTTATTCAAAAACATAAACCTCTATTGAATAGGTGATACATTTCTCATTTTATTATTACATTTTTAGTGAATGATTGATTAATTTATGCATATTTCATTCATATAATATTCATTCATTCATATTCCTCCATGATGACGTATGTAAATTTCATTGTTACTATGTAATGTATCCTTGAAGATACTACTGAAACATGTACGAGATTAAATCTTGGTGTTATTTTGTTATTTACTTAATTTATATACATCGTCTATAACTCGTTCAAATTTAATTATATGGTATTTACAGGTATCCACAGCGGGGCAGTTGTAGCAGGCGTCGTTGGTATTAAGATGCCTCGTTACTGTTTGTTTGGTGAAACAGTGACCACAGCTGCAAAAATGGAGACAACTGGTGAGGTATGTTACATTATAATTTTTGAAAATAACTCTTTTATTTTCAATATTTTCACTATTAACTCCCCCACTAACACAACAGAAATAAACTAGAACATAGGTACTGCGCGATATATCACCCTGATAACTAGCGATACAAAACGATTACAAAAGTATGAGTCGATTTTACACATCTAATAGACAAAAACGAATGCTATTTCACCTATACTCTTCGTCGCCAAATAAGATATCAACAACACTATCGTGAACAACTAATCCGGGGTACATTTTAATAGTTTAACCTGAAGGCCACGACACCATCTTAAGCGTATGGGGATATAATCTACCGATTCGGTTGTAAACTGTCACCCAGCTTAGCTGAAGATAAAATGGTTGTGTGTTAGTGAGGTATTATCTGAGGTATCATCCTCCTGACAACAAAACGGTCACGAGGCATGGCGCCCTTCACGATCACAAATACCATTTCTAACCCCTCACTAGTAATGTCTTCTACAATAATTTCTTGAATGGCACGGTTCGGCGAATCTGGTAAATGCACACAAAACATTCCAGTATCGAGCGCTCATGTCATTTCTAAGTAGACCGCACTCAAGCTAGCCCAGTGAACAGCGCACTCAACCATGAAGTTTTTTAGTCAAGAAAGGTCCATCATAATGTATCCCAACACGAGCATATGTATGTTAAGTGTCCCTTTTGATAATTAGGCCAATGGGACCATAACCTGTTGTGTGGGTTTACATCGAATACATTTACAAGTGTAACAGGACGATTGTATGGATTTACATCCCGAATAATCCTGTGCTAACTTCAGAAAGTACATGCGAAACTCCTGTATTGTGGTGTCCGTTATCGTGAACAGTCGTAACGACTAAACGTGTAACATAATGCTTTGAGGACAAAATGACTGAATGTTTTCCGATTGTCCTAACTGTCCATTAACCCTTACATGCCGAATTAATCAAGAGTGCATAGAGTCTAGCTCACGTTAGCTTCTGGTACTTTAGACACAGTTTTGACATGTGTCATTCAAGTCATTGATTTGCGCTTTGTGACCACAATGTCTTTAATGCAGTTAACTCGCGACTTTCCAAATACCGAATTTCAGTGGAGTTTTCTGACTTTCGACTAATGTTAATAAACAAAAGATCCAAGCGGTAAAACGAACCTATTAGAGTATCTCATCTAATACTTTTGGCACAGTGACGAATGTTGCAGACCCCCCTCTTTCGCTGCCGGGAGATCGAAATAAATAGAAATGGTCATAACGAAGCGTCTCTTGTTCAAACGTTGGGACGTATCACAAGTCACAATTTGTTCAGTTATAAACCGTCACACGGGAAAGGCGTCCCTACTGAGCTGCTATGGTTATCTCACATCATGTTAAGGTCGCCATAAGCGTGAAGGACGCGTCAGATACCGAACGGTGCGCTCCACTGTCACCTATACTCACCGTCTCGACGAAATTAAAATGTCTTTAGTCGTAACATCTCCATAAACGTAATAAAAATGTGCACCAAAGGCATAGATTTTATTAGAAACGCGCCTTGGGAACTCAAATTGGTTCAATATGTCGCAGGTTGATAGCGACCGATGTAGAATTTGTAATTTGAAGAGATTTTACCTCGCGTTTTCTTGTAACGAAGTACAATTTTAGTCGCCGAAAGACCGCGAATGGTCGCAGTCCGGTGTGACAGGGTTAAAACCGAGTTCCAAAGTGGGTACTGATTAATTTGGCTAGTACCGAGAGCCATTGCATAGGATTAAAGATTCGTGTATTTCACCAATTCAATGTGAGACTTATAGTTGCGTAACTCACCGCGAATCCAAAACAGAATATTTTGACTATCGAACCAAATCCATACGTTGTTTTGAGAAATATTGAATACATCATGGTTGCTATTAGAAAGATTGTACCACAGTTCAAGTTGCGGTATCGAAAAATTTATTTTGGCCTTCAGTTTGGTTTCAAATTTGCATTTTGACGCCAAAAATATTGCGATAGGGTATTGGCGAAAACCAAAGGATTATGTTGATAAATCTAACCCATTTTAAGACCGGTCGCCACTTTGCTTTTGCTCTGTCACAACGCCTTTCAATGTATGGTTGTGATGACCCCTTCTATTCCCCCAATTAACTTCATAATTAACTCCCTTCAAATTAGGATATGTCAAATACGAAATCACTACCAACTGGGCTATCCCAGTTCAAATGTCGTAGTAGAGGACAAAACTATTCTCTACCAACTACGTTATTGGTTTGCCTTGATCTGAGTTCTCTATTGTTTCCAAATCCAATTAGTTAGCACGCCATGGTATTCCGGCGCAATACCTTTTACATCGAATACAAATGACCGTTTCGTATATTTTTTTTATTTTTCCATTCAGTGTCATGGGATCAGAAAAGTATATTATTGTGAAGGATAATAATGATACTGTATCGGCAATTTTATTTAAGGTTTAAAATATCGCTACAGTTTGATTAGAAAGGTAATTGTAAATATCTACAGGATCAAAATCAGAATAATCCCACCCGATAAAAAGCTTTTTTTTGTTTCGCGTTGAAATTGGATTTCAAGTTTATTGGACAACTTAATCTAGGCAGCTGTCAAGGGAACAATTTCAAGTAAGAACAACTTCCGAGCGAGGTTAACAATATGTTTTTCAATTCTTTCCGTAGGCGATGGAAATTCATATTAGTGAAGTGACAAAGCGTGAGCTAGAAAACTGTCCATATTCATGTGATCCACGGGGCTGTATAGATATGAAGGTAAGTAGACTTTAATTACAGTGCTTTTTTTTTGTCTACTTCTGGTCACGCTCCCCAGCCAAAACTGCACATAACACAGGTTATATGACATCATTGTGGGACGTTACAAAGTCCCAGTTTGTTATCGAATTGTCAAATCTTTTTTTTGTGGGACTTTGCTTCAGTTTGTTATCGAAATGTCAATTTTTTTTTTTTTTTTTTTTTTTTGATTTTTACACACCTTCCTGTGCTTAGACTGCAGTAGTTGCAACAACCTTTCAACTATCATAGACCTTCTATATAGGCGACGATGTGCATAAGTATAAATTGGAAGGTTTGTGTTAACAGCTCAGTTGTTTCAGCTTTATAGTTCCAAAAAAGGAACGGGTTTTTTACATTTGGATATTTTCATTTTTCGATTTTGACCTTTGTTGACTGTTGTTGACCTATATCTTTTGTCCTATATTATGTAGGAGCTTGACATTTGGAACATAACGTAACATTTTGAATATAAATTAACCTATGCAAAAGAAATTGAAGAAATTCATATTTAAAAAGCCAAATTCGCAAATTTGGACTGCTCTAGCACGTGACCTAATTAACCTAGAGGGTTAATTGTTTCGGTTTCCTAATGTGATTCTCATGCACTTTACATAGATATATAACAACCACACCACGTGACCTTGACCTTTGATGACCTTGACCTTTATAGGGTCAAAGGTCATTGACCTTAGCTATCATTTGATACTTTGACATTTGACATCCGACATGTACTTCCGGTTTTACAGCTGTCCGAAAAAAAACAAATTCGCAACTTTGGACTGCTGTAGCACGTGACCGAAATAACCTAGAAGGTTAATTTTTTCGGTTTCTTAATGTGCGTCTCATGTACTTTACATAGATATATAACATTTGCTTTTTTAAAGCAAAATTGAAATTCGTGATTTTTTCAAATTTGAGTTTTTTTAACACTATTTGCGTCGTTGTATGTATATCTTATGATCTATTTGATGTAGAACCTTGATATTTGGAATACCGGTACAACTAGACACTTTGAATATGAATTCATCTATGACAAAAAAACTTATGTGGGCGTGGCACATCCGGGTTGAATTACTTATTGTTTACATTTAGAGGCAGGGGCATAACTCGCATAGGATGCGTTTGTTCAAAAAGGCCCTTTGCACACAATTACCTCATCCTTTTGGCCAGTTTGTGTTAACAGCTCAGTTGTTTCAGCTTTATAGTTCCAAAAAAGGAACGGGTTTTTTACATTTGGATATTTTCATTTTTCGATTTTGACCTTTGTTGACTTTTGTTGACCTATATCTTTTGACCTGTATTATGTAGGAGCTTGACATTTGGAACATAACGTAACATTTTGAATATCAATTAACCTATGCAAAAGATTGAAGTGGGCGTGGCACATCCGGGTTAAATTACTCATTATTTTTGGCCAGGGGCATAACTCGCAAAGTATACATTTGTTCAAAATGGAACTTTGCATACAATTACCTCATATTTTGAGCCACTTTGTCTTAGAAATCCGGTTGTTTCCGCTTCATAGTTCAAAAAAAGGAACAGGTTTTGGAAATTGACAATTTTCAATTTTTGACCTTGACCTTTGTTGACCTTGACCTTTGTGGGATCAAACGTCATTGGCATTGACTGTCTATTTATACTTTTATATTTGCTGTCCTATGTCAACTTCCGGTATTATCGTCGTGTGCAATTTGAAATTTTGATGACGTATATCTCTTGATCTTGACCTTTTTAGACCTTCTCCTTTACAAGGTCAAAGGTCATTGACCTTGGCTATCTGCTGATGCTTTCATTTGTGAGATCTGACGTCTACTTCTGGTATTAGAATCTTCTAAAAAATGAAAATTTCTCAACTTTAGACTGTTCTTGCACTTGATCTAATTATCGTCGAAGGTTGATTTTTTCAGGGTCTTTTGCAATTTGCTACATTTGCAAAGTCCCACTCTGTGCCACGTGTGGCTCTAGTTTTTTTTTTGAAATTGACACACCTTCCTTAGCCTAAACTGCAGTAGTTGCAGCAAACATTCAACTTCTCTAGACCTTCTGTAGTGGCAACGTGTTCCTTAAATATATATTGGAACATTTGAGCAAAACCAGAAGTGCCACAGTTCAACATGTGCAAAAAGTCGAAAATCGGCTCTAGAAGGCGCATTTTTGCGTCGATTTTCTTCGGGTTTTCATTTTAACAATCTACATGTAATTTCTGACCTGATAGCACTTGAAAAAATACGAAATCGGAAAATTCGTCGCTCACTTTTTTCGGTCAAATTTTTTGCAACTTTTTTGCTTTTGCATCGATTGATCTG